ATTGGCTCCGCCTCCTGGTCAGGTCTGAGTACTACGGAGTCCGCGGCCTGTTCGACGAGTGGACCCAGTTCATCGGCCCAACGTGCAACAACTCCATCGGGTGAGACCCCTGCCGACACTCCACCGACCGAGTCAAGGGCTTGTTTCACAGCAAGGGCACCACACTGGGCTGGGGAAGGGCTAGTATGCCACGTGAAGCCCCAGTCACACCACCGCTCGAAGGCCCCAGCCCTACTTCCACTGCCCGTAGGACACCGAGTCCTAAATGTCATGCTCTCAGGTTCAGGAGGCTCGGAGAGGTAAGTCAAGGTGGCCAGAGACCTCCCTGCAGAGGAAGCCACCGGTACCCTGGCGCTCTCGCGGTGCCTCCTCTGACGGTGGGTGGCCTGGGGGCGAGACGGCAGGGGCAAGCGATAGGTCGTGGGGCCAATATCGCCCCATGAGCTCGACGGGGTCCAGGGGTACAGTCAAGGCCCTTGCCCGAGCCAGAAGACCGACCCAAGAGACCACACAACGCCCCCAGGCCAAGACAACGCCCCTCACGGTAACAACTCACTGACCGTCGACTCCCTTCGGTGGACGCAGCAGGGCTTCCCCGAATGCACCCCCTACTCCAAGATTAAGGAGAAGTACTGTCTGCCTGGCCATCCGCCTCCTGTTCTCCAATGCGATCTGGCGTGCCGATGTGGAGATTCACACCTTCCTGGAACAAGAGTGTCGGCTGGCCCAGCATGGAAGTGGGTGGCCAGTCGAGGTCGCAAGAGGTTTTCGTCGCAGGAGACGGTGCGCCCCATGTGCCCCCAGTCTGGGATCTGATTCTAGTCTGTTCCGTCAACTGGCATCCTACCACCCCGCTCCCAGACCTGGCGGCGTCTGTGCTTGCGCACGGGCCCGCCTCGTCACCTGGTCCCGTGGTGCCAAGCTGGTCGGCCCTCGTGGGCGGGACCACGAATGCCTGCGACGGGACGCCTAGCCTCTTTCCGCCGGGCTATGCCCGAGGGACACGCTCGCCGGGCGACCTGTTGGGCTGAGCGCTGCTCGGCTTAGCTAATACCAAAGTCACGCCTCCCCCCACCAAAAGGCCCCCAAGAGGCTTCCAAGCGGCTCCTCAAGAAGAAGCCCCCCTCCCTCCCCAGAGGCAGGCCTCCAAGTGGCTTCCGAGAGTCTCCCCAGACAAGGCCCCAATATGCTCCAAGAGGCCCAGGAGGCACTCCAGAGGCCCCAAATATTGCTCCTGGTTCGCCACCAAATACGCTGCTGCGCACTTTAGCCCGCGTTTTTATGTTCGGCCCGATCTGCGGAGACACCGCGCGAATCGCTGCTGAACCTTTTTGCATGGCCGCTGTGTGCTTGTCATCTCCATTTCTCTATATGTAGCTCTTCCTCTCTCTCTCTTTCTCTCTGTCCCTCTTTCTCTCTTTTCTGTTGTTTCTCTCTCTCTCTCGCTCTCTCTCTCTCTTTCCCTCGCTCATTTTTCCTATGGTTTCGCAACTGTCCTTCGTTTTGAAAGTGGGGTCGCTAACTCATGTTTTTCTTCTCCGCCTCCCCCCCCGCCTTCCTCTCGGCTCTCTCTCTTCTCGTATCCCTCTTGGGGGCTGCGAAATGTGAAACTGTTCCAACTTTCGAGGGCTGCTGGGTGAACCCGCACAGTTGGTTCCGACGCAGACCCAAACGGGACCTCGCCATCCCTGGGGGGTCTGCGAAATATGATACTGTCGCCACCCCAATACAGCGGGGTCCCGCGCAGACTCAAACGGGACCTCGCCATCCCGGAGGGTGCCGCGAAGTGTGAAACTATCGCTGCTTTCGAGGGGTGTCGGGGAGGCCATCGCAAAGGGGTCCCACGCAGACCCACACGGGACCTCGCCAACCCCAGGGGGGCCGCGAAGTGTGAAACTGTTACGACTCTCGAGGGCTGCTGGGGAGCCCGGCACAATGGGGCCCCACGCGGACCCAAACGGAACCTCGCCATCCCCGGGGGGGGCGGGGGGGCTGCGAAGAGTGAAGATGTCGCCAAGATCAGGGAACACGACGTGGCGTGGAGTACCCTGCCGCATGTGATAGGTCGAGGGGCCTCCAACCCCAGGTGTGCTCGACAGCACCCGGCGGGAAAAACAACGCTCTCTTATTCGGACAACAGGACAGGCCGACAAAGAGAACGCGGGCAAGGCAAGGAACCGGGGCCGACGGGAAAGCGAGGAGCCGAGGAGCGAGAGGGGGAGGGGGCGAGGGACGACGACAGGACAGGACAGACCAGGCCGACGGACGGACAGACGAGGAGACGGGGAAAGGAAGAGAAACCGAGCGAGGAGACGGAGGGAGAGCACGCAAGACACAAGGGCAAGGGAACACAAGGGCAAGGGGGGAGGACACGGAGAGGGGGAGGAGAGAGGGGAGGGAAGGAGGAGAGGGAAGCGAAGAGAGAGAGAGGGCAGGGGCCAAGGCAAGAAAGGAAGCGGGCCAAATGGCGCTACCGGGCCAACACAGGCTGCTGGGGGAGCCAACACAGTGGGATTCCACGCAGACCCAAACGAGACCTCGCCATCCCTGGGGGGCTGCGAAGTGTGAAACGGTCGCCATTTTCGAAGGCTGCAGGGTGGGCCAACGCAGTGGGGTCCCACGCAGACCCAAACGGGACCTCGCCATCCCTGGGGGGTTGAAAAAGTGTGAAGCTGTTGTCACTTTCGAATGCTGCTGGGGAGCCAACGCAGTGGGGTCCAACGCAGACCTAAACGGGACCTCGCCATCCCTGGGGCGGCTCCGAAGAGTGACACTGTCGCCAATTTCGAGGGCTGCAGGGGGAGCCAACACAGTGGGGTTCCACGCAGACCCAAACCGGGACCTCGCCATCCCTGGGGTCTGCGAACTGCGAAGCTGTTGCCAATTTCGAGGGCTGCTGTGGGGGCCAGCGCAGTGGGGTCCCACGCAGACCCAAACGGGACCTCGCCATCCCTGGGGGGCTGCGAAATGTGAAACTGTTGCCACTTTCGAGGGCTGCTGGGGGGCCAGCACAGTGGGGCCCCACGCAAACCCAAACAGGGCCTCGCCATCCATGGGGGGGGGTGCGAAGTGTGACAGTGTCACCACTTTCGAAGGCTGGCGGCGCGCCTGCGCGCGTTTGGTGCCTGCACTAAAAGATGCAGGGAGGAAGCAGAGAGGCTGGCGGGCGAGCTGGGCCGTGACCGCTTCTTGCAGTAGGAACGGCAGGCTTTGATGTCCCGAGGCGCTGCAGCAACGCTGAGCGCTGGCCGCGCAGGTGTTGAGCATTCCGGCGTGGAAAAAGAACGTGGCACTTCATTGTCTGGTTGCGTCTGCGCCTATGTAACCTTATCTTGCCCATGCTCCATCAACGCTCTTCCACCTTATCTGCCGAGGTGATTGTTCTCCCCTCCCAGTCTTCCTTTGGCTTCTCCTTCCCACTACAATGCCCCCTGGCCAGCTACACATCTGTTCTGCGAATCGTCCATGCACACTTCGCACGATATAGATATCCGCCGTGCACCGTCTATTGCAGTGTTGCTGCCACAGTGTTGTCGGCACACATTCTACCATCCCTTGGTGCCGATGGGTTGGGTACGTCGCAGGGTAAGTTTCCCAACCCTCCCTGCCGACTCCTTTCTCCTTCTCCTTTTCCTCCCGCCCTCTGTCCCCCTCTCGCCTCCCTGCGCCTATCTGCACCTGTCTGCTGGGGGAGCCAGCTCTGTCCCCCTCTCGCATGCCTGCTGGGGGGGGGGTCACAGTGGGATCCCACGCAAACCCAAATGGGACCTCGCCGTGTGAAAGTGTCGCCACTTTCGAGGGCTGCTGGGGGGCCAACACAGTGGGATCCCACGCAGATCCAAGCGGGACCTCGCCATCCCTGGGGGGCCGCGAAGTGTGAAACTGTCGCTGCGATGTGTGAAACTGATGCCATTTTGGCAGGCTGCTGGGGGAGCCAACACCCTGGGATTCCACGCAGACCCAAACGAGACCTCGCCATCCCTGGGGGGCTGCGAAGTGTGAAACGGTCGCCATTTTCGAAGGCTGCAGGGTGGGCCAACGCAGTGGGGTCCCACGCAGACCCAAACGGGACCTCGCCATCCCTGGGGGGTTGAAAAAGTGTGAAGCTGTTGTCACTTTCGAATGCTGCTGGGGAGCCAACGCAGTGGGGTCCAACGCAGACCTAAACGGGACCTCGCCATCCCTGGGGCGGCTCCGAAGAGTGACACTGTCGCCAATTTCGAGGGCTGCAGGGGGAGCCAACACAGTGGGGTTCCACGCAGACCCAAACCGGGACCTCGCCATCCCTGGGGTCTGCGAACTGCGAAGCTGTTGCCACTTTCGAGGGCTGTTGGGGGGGCCAGCACAGTAGGGCCTCACGCAGACCCAAACGAGACCTCGCCATCCCTGGGGGGGCTGCGAAGTTAGAAGCCGTCGCCACTTTCGAAGGCTGCTGGGGGGCCAACACATTGGGGTTCGCCATCTGGGGGGGTGCGAAGTGTGAAGCCGTCGCCACTTTCGAAGGCTGCTGGGGGGGCAAGCACAGTGGGGTCCAATGCAGATCCCAGAAAGACCTCGCCATCATCTCGCTGCTTCGACCGAGGTGATTGTTCTTCCGCCCCGATGTCTTCCTTGTGTTTCTCTTTCCAGTACAATGCCTTCTGGCCTGTTGTACCTCTCTTCTGCGAGTCGGCCGCGCACACTTCGAACGACGTAGATATCCGCCGTGCACCGTCTCTTGCAGTGTTGCTCTTGCATCCCTTGGTGCCGATGGGCTGGGTACGTCACAGGGTAATGTGCATTGTCGTGTCTCTCTTTCTCTCTCCCTCTCTTTCTCCCTCTCTCTCTCTCTCTGTCTCTCTCTCTTCTCTCTCCGTCCGTTTGCCCGATCATCCCTTTGTCTCCTCCCTCCCTCCCTCTCCATCACTCCGATTCCCTCCTTCCCTACCCCTCTCCTGTGCTTCATCGGTTCCCTCACTCCGCACGCTTACCCTGACAAGAGTGTGCCAAATCTGGAACTCCTAGAGCTGGTCTCGCTGCGCCTGGGGCTGGCGTCGGGCTCCCGCGTGGAGCTGCTGTCGTACCTGCACGACATGCCGAGGGAGGGCAAGCCCTCCCACCCCCCAATCATCGTCCTGCCCCCTGCCCTCCCCCTCTTCCTCCCCCTCCCGCCATACATACATGGGCACCGGAAAGATCAGTTCGTGGAAACTTGTCGATTGTTTCCGAATGTTCTATGCGACCTGAAACGTTGGAGCTTCAGAATCTGTTTTTTTCCCCAACCCTTCCTTGGTTGGGTTCTCGTTTTGAATACAGCACTGAGGATTCCACCTCCTCTTCCTCCTCGCCCCCCCCGCTCTCCTCTTGGCCCTCTCCTCTCGCATCCCGGGACCGCGAAGTGAGAAACTGCACCATTTTTGAAACTGTCGCCACCTTTGAGGGCTGCTGTGAGCGCCAACACAATGGGGCCACAAGCAAACCCAAACGGGACGTCGCCATCCCTGGGGGGCTGCGAAGAGTGAACCGTCGCCACTTTCGAGGGCTGCTGGGGGAGCCAGCACAGTGGGGCTACACGCAGATACAAACAGGACCTCGCCATCCCTGGAGGTCTGCGAAATGTGAAACTGTCCCTCCTTTCGAAGGCTGCTGGGGGTCCCACGCAGACCCAAACGGGACCTCGCCATCCCTAGGGGGTGCTGCGAAATATGAAACTTTTGCACTTTCGAGGGCTGCAGGGGGAGGGGGAGCCAGCACAGTGGGGTCCCAGGCAGACCCAAACGAGACCTCGCCATCCCTGGGGGGCTGCGACATGTGAAGTCGTCGCCACTTTCAAAGGCTGCTGGGGGAGCCAGCACAGCGGGGCCACACACAGCCCCAAGTGAGACCTCGCGATCACTGGGGGGCTGCGAAGTGTGAAATGGTCGCCATTTTTGCAGGCTGCTGGGGGGCAGCACAATGGGACCCAACGCAGATCCAAACGGGACCTCGCCATCCCTGGCGGGGGGGGGTCCGAAGTGTGAAACTGTCGCCGCTTTCGAGGGTTGCTGGGGGGGCCAACACAGTGGGGTACCACGCAAATCCACACGGGGGGACCTCGCCATCCCTTGGGGTCTGCGAGGTGTGAAGCTGTGGCCACTTTCGAAGGCTGCTGGCCGGGGCAATACAATGGAGCCCCACTCAGATCCAAACGGAACCTGACCATTCCTGGGGCGCTGCGAAATGTGAAACTGTCGCCGCTTTCGAGGGCTGCTTGGGCGGCCAGCACAGTGAGGTCCCACGCACCCCAAAAAGATGGCAAGGTGTAAGTGCCCATCGGCGTCTAAGTTGTAAGAGCACAGTTGCGTTGCATTCTACGTTGGATGTTTCAGTTGGGTGTTTTACATTCGATATTTCACTGTTGATGTTTACTGTGAAGTTTCACGCTGGATCTTTACGCTGGATCTTTACGATTGTTGGATCCTTCAACTCCTGTTCCTTCAGCTCCTACTTCTCTGGCTCCTAGTCCTTCCGCTGCTACCCATTCAACTCCTATTCCTGCGGCTCCTACTCCTTCGGCTCCTACTCATTCAACTCTTACTCCTTAACTTCTGTAGCCAGGAACGCAAATATAGCACAGGGATTCCAACAATCAGATAGCACATCCTGTTCCCCCCCAAGATCTTATGTTGGTCCATGTTGCGGGCTCCTAAGAATGAGCTCCCAGGGGTTGAAAAGGGGCCCGACCCATGATGGGCGATCTGTTCCTCGAATGTCTGTGCTATCTCGGAAGGGGCTGTGCTATCCTCATCCGGGGGAGCGGGGGCGCGCGCATATAGCACACTCTGGCTGGTAGAGGATGTCCATCCCAGGCACGCGACAAATCCACAACGTGCATTGCACAACGCACAGGATTGCCACAGATCTTGCATAATATCCACCGCAGTCTACACATGTTTGACACATTTCTTACACAGCAGAGCCAATTACGGCTCAGGCGGCTCGAAAATGGGGTTGAGAAAAACGGGATCCGCGTGTCCAGTTGACGACGACATGCAGGATGAGGATGGTGAGGAGGTGGAGGGAAGGGATGACGAGGAAAGAGAGGTGCAGGATGAGTGGGGTGGAGGGATGATAAGGGAGCGAGGAGAGGGAGGGATGAGGACGAGGAGGCGTAGGAGGAGAAGGAGGAGGAGGAGGAGGAGGAGGAGGAGGCGTAGGAGGAGGGAGAAGGGAGAGGGAGGGAGTTGCGAGGATGTCTCAGGCGAAACGGGCCAGGGCACGTCGCAAGGTCAAGGTCAAGGTCAAGTTCAAGCATGTATGCCCGCGAAGGGGCGGCCGCGTAGGGCACAGGCGGATGAAAACTAGCAGGCGCTCGTGTGGTGAAGGAAATCTCCGGTCATACACTTCCAGGAACGTGCGTCTCTGGCTGCTGCTCTCCAGTCACCGATCCCGTACTTGTCGCAGAAGCTGTGGACATCGGACTCCCACATTTTCCGCGGTCTCCCTTGGGACCTGCTTCCGGCATGTGACCATGCAGGAACACACGATAGCCACCTCTCGGCCGGCAGGTTGGCGACGTACCCGGCGAAGTTCCAGTAGTGTCGAAGCAATATTTACGACCATAGTTAGGTCTGGGTGCCTTGTAATTTGTCGGACACACGCTCGCGCCAAATGTGCAAAATCTCACGCCATGGACTAGTCCAATCAGCCTCGCTTGGCGGCCCGACAACTTGTCGAAGAAGCTTGCGACACGCAGCGTCCAGCTTCTTCCTGTCGGTTGCGTACATCACGCGGTGCGCAGGGCCAAACGTAGCATTCGTGGTGAATGAGAGCATGAAAACAAATCAAGCGTAGCTCGACCGATACATGCTTCACCGCGAGGATCCACCGGCTCGCGAAGAAGGCCCTCCCAGCAGCTTGAAGGTGGTACATATTCCTGGTCCTGCTTCACAGCGTCTGTTGACAATATGCATCCCGAACATTTGTGAGAGTTCGCACGTTTGATGCATACACCGGATGGGAGCAGAAGCTTGTCTGCCGGCTGCGCCTTGGTAGTCAAGGCGGCGTTCAGCATCAGGCCAACTGCGGCGACTTCGTCTACCAGCGACGCCAAAATAATCGCAGCCTCTTTTAGTGACTTGGCAAAAATACAGCATCGTCAGCAAACCGTAAATCCAGTAATCTGCTTAGTCCATCCCCTGAATCAAAACCTGCTGTCCCGGACTTTTGTCGCCAACGGGCCATCGCCCATTCCAACAAGCAGCAGAAGAACCTTGGGCTGAGAACACAACCTTGCCGGACTCCTGCTCGGATGTCAAAAGGGTCGTTGCGTTGAGAGTTGCCTTTCACATGCCCGGTCTGGTTCTCGTAAAGCACCTGCAATATCCATATGAGTGGTCGGAGATACCGCGCCCGCGCAAAACCGATTACATAGCAGACCAATCCACTCGATCGAAAGCCTTCGACGAGTCCAAACTCACAACCCAAATTGGGACACCAACTGACCTCGTCTTGTCCAAGAACATGTTAGCTGTCAGGAGGTGCTCCTCGATGCGGTAATCGGCCCAGGGCGCATGCTGTTCTTCAGATTGGTGTGTTTGTCCAACGTTTTCTCTAAGCGCCCCAGCACCAAATATGCCAATAACTTGCACAAGACCCGTACGCTGGCGATGGGTCGGTAATGAGAAACAGATACAGCTTTCGTATTTTCCGGAAGCATCTGGAACAGGGATTGTCGCCAGCTCTCCGGGAAAAGCCCCTCCAGCAATACCCTGTTGCACAATGATACCAATAAGTTCCTGAATGAAGCCGGCGCGTTGTGTAGAAGTTCTGCAACCAGGCCAGCGTCATCAGAAGCTCGCTTCGCGCTCATCCTGCCCACCGCGGCGTCGAGTTTTGTCGCCGAGAAACCTTCCGAGAGAACTTGCGGTCTTTCTTGCGCCGGCGGTGCTCCGGCAAACAAGCCGCCGAGGAATTGAGCAGAGTCATTTTCTGATGGTGGTTGGGGCTGGCTTCTCCCTTTGATCTTCTCCAACAACGTTTTGACCTCGTGCTGGTGCTTTGAATTCTTTACTGTGTCCTCCAATTGCGTTGTCTTCCATGCTCTGAACTCCTGTCTTTGCAAGCACCGGATCTCAAAGCTAAGCTGCTTGCGCTCGGCCTGGTCGCGGGACCGTCGTCTCTGAGCCCGGAGTGCTTGGATATGTGAACTTGGACAGAAGCGTATCTTGTGGGTCGGTGTATAACTGACCTTCGTTGCCGCATCTTGAAAGGCTGCTTCGACCTGCTCGAAAGACGCCGTACTCCCATGTTGTAGCACCCACATGCTCAAGTAAGATTGAAAATTTTGCGGCGGGCCCCGCTCGTCCAGATTGGGTTTCCACTTCTTGAACGACTTCTGGCGCCGCTTGCGCCCGTCCTCAGTGGTGGACTTGTCCCGCTGCATCCTCAGCTGCGCAACGATGTGGACGCAACGATGGTCAAGACCGATTGGCAAGCAATTGTCGTACCATGTCTTGTGGCACTGGACGCGGCCACCTGCCAGGAGAAAGTCTAGCTGCACCAATGCCCCGTCCATAGTGCGTCTGCAGGTCCATAGTGCGTCTGCAGGGCACATAGCACAAGTCAGGAACGCCTCCTGGTCACCCGTCTCGCGCGAGGGCCGAATCCTGCTCCTCCCGACTCACAAGGAGATGGAAGCTGGCCGGACCACCTCGGGTCAGGGCATAGCCGGGCCGAGAAACCCGAAGATGTCTCTGGCGAAACGGAACGGGGCAACGCTAATTCCGCGAGGGGTGCCCCGAAATGGGCCCACCTGGGCAGCAAAAGTTTCACACCCACTCCAGGAAGGCCAGGTGGGCCATTTCTGCGCCTGGAGCTGCGAGGATGTCTCAGGCGAAACGGGCCAGACCACCTCAGGCCAGAACATCTCTGAGCCTAGACGTGCGAGGGCGTCTCGGACGAAACGGGGCGGACCTCCTCGGATCAGGGCATATCTGAGCCCAGAGTTGCGAGGATGTCTCAAGCGATCGAGTCGGGGCACATAGCAAAGTTCTGGAGCGCTCCCCCACGGCCCCCCTTCTCGCGCGAGGGCCGGCCCCCTCCTCCTCCTCGGCCTCCACTTCCTCCTCCTCCTCCTGTGCCTCCTTCTTTTCCTCCTCCTTTTCCTCCTCCTGCTCCTGCTCCTCCTGCTGCGCCTCCTGCTCCTGCTCCTCCTGCTGCTGCGCCTGCTCCTCCTCCTGCTCCGCCTGATCCTGCTCCGCCCAACTCCGCCGAACCCTGTCGGCGTGGGTGAGGGGCTTGTCTGTTCGAGTCGTCGTCTCCGTCAGTTGTCGTCGTCCGTCGTCCCCTTTCCGCACCCCCTTCCTCAAGCTTGTCAGCGAGCGAAAAAGGGAGCAATGTCGTAACCGAGTCGAAGGGAAGCGCCTTCCTTTTGATCCCTCCCCCGTGGGGGGCGGTGTCAGATACCCATCCCTCCCTGGGGGCCCGGGGGCTTCAGAAAGTACCAAGACAGGCCAAGAGTGCCCCAAAAGGCCCCCGAAACGGTTCCAGAGGGTCCCCAATCTCCAAGCGATCGGTCCACAACGCCTTCACGCCCTCCAGACTGTCCAGGAGGCCTCCAGGACGCCCCAAGACGCATCCAAGAGCACTCCCGAGAGGGCCCCAAGAGGCCAAATTCATTGATTCTCTGTTTGTTTTTGGAAGCTTGGGCGTTTTTGTCTTTTCCACTTCCCGCCGCTCCAAAACGGCGCAAGAGGCCCCCAAGATCGCCCCAAGACGGCCCAAGACGCCTCCGAGAGGGCCCCATAACAATCCAAGAGGACACCAAGACAGCCCAAAACGCCTCCAAGTCCAAGACGGCCCAAGAGGCCCAGAGACGGCTCCAAGAGCGTGCCCAGACGGGGGACCCGAACGGACATTTCGAGCCCTCGGCCCCAAGAGGCTCCCAGGAAGCCCCAACAGGTTCCCAAGAGGCCCCAAGAGGCCCACTATATTTTTTCCACACCAGCAGCCTTAATACCACTGCACTACCGTGCGAATTAATTTGCTGTGATGCATCGCACGGCACGCGCACTCCATACGCGCGATCCTTTCAGCCAAAACAGCTTTAACAATTCTGACGCTGGACTGGGCGCAAAACTGCCTTAACAATTTTAACGCCGGCTGCGCCGCACCCGTCCCGTGACATTTGCAGCACCTCGCGCGGCGTGGGGGGAGGGGGGGGGGGGCAGGCGGAGGGGGAGAACAAGACGAGGGGGCGAGGGCGCTGTGCGGATAACCCCTGAGGCCCGAACGGCCACTAATATAGCCAAAAAGAGCACAGCGCAATCAAGCGGCGCCCCCTGCCCTGCAGGAGAGCGGCCGCATCCACGGGCGGCCCACGCCACCGAAAGTAGCAAGAGCTGACAAAATCCGCAGCTAAGCCAGAATGTACGCCAGGTCGCAGCCAAGGGCGCCACTGGCGGACCAAACACCCTCGAGCAGCAAACACAGTCACATGCGAAAGCAAGGAGCAAGAACACGAGTATCTGTTGGACACCCGTGACGCACCGAAGCCACTGGACGCGTCCACCCTCGCAGAGAGGGGGGGGGAGGGGCAACGGCTTCCGAGTGGATGGGCGCCCCGGGCGGGGCCCAGAGCCCACCTGCAAGATTAATTATATATTGCCCAAGCGGCCAGCAGAGGAGGAGGAAAGGACAGAGGGAGAAGAGCATGGGGGAGGAATGTAAGTCAACAGGTAATGGCAGCCTCAGCCTAGAGCACACGGCAACTCTGGTGGCAATAACGGCCGACCTCAGAAAGAGATACCGCTGGCCACGAGGATGGTGTTCCTGTGAGTGGCCCTATCACCACTCAGTAAGACACCTTCACGCCTTTCCGGTGTGGGAGTCGGCGGGCTGGTCGTCTCGGGAGTCGATGGGGTGGTCGGTGCGGGAGTCGGCGAGCTGGTATGTGTGAGAGTTGGCGAGGTGGTCGGTGCAGGAGTCGGTGAGCTGGCAGGCGCGAGAGGTCCCCAGGAAGCCCGACGAGGCCACCAAGAGGCTCCCAAGAGGCCCCCAAGAGTCTCCCAAGAGGCCCCAACATTCCTCCCCAGAGGCCCCCGAGAGACTTCCGAAGAGACCACAAGAAGCATCTCTGAGATCTGTGGCCCACGTCAACGTCGTCGTCGTCGTTGCCGCCGCCGTCGTAGTCGTCGTCATTGTCGTCTCCGTGCAGGGTCGGCGGCACCAGCCGTAAGGCCTTCGCAATCACACAGAGAGGGAAACTGGCCAGACCACCTCGGGTCAGGGCATATCGGAGCCCACAGTTGCGAGGATGTCTCAGGCGAAAACGGGCCAGGGCACATGGCACAAGTCAGGAACGCCTCCTGGTCACCCGTCTCGCGCGAGGGCCGCATCCTGCTCCTCCCGACTCACAGGGAGAGGGAAGCTGGCTGAACCACCTCGGAACAAGGCAGATCGGGGCCCAGAAATGCGAGGACGTCTCTGGCGAAACGGGACGGGGCAACGCTAATTCCGCGAGGGGTGCCCCGAAATCACCTGGGCAGCAGAAGTTGGACGCCCACTCCCGGGAGGTCAGGTGGGCCATCTCTGCGCCTGGAGTTGCGAGGATGTCTCAGGCGAAACGGGCCAGACCACCTCAGGCCAGAACATCTCTGAGCCTAGAGGCGTCTCGGGTGAATCGGGCCGGACCTCCTCGGATCAGGGCATATCGAAGCCCAGAGTTGCGAGAATGCCTTAGGCGAAACAGCCCCCCTTTCGCGCGAGGGCCGACCCCCACCTCCTCCTCCTCGGCCTCCACCGCCTCCTCCTCCTCCTCCTCCTCCTCCTTCTCCTTTTTTGCGCTAAGCAAGCCTGAAATGAAAATCTGCAGCGTTCCGTCTCCTCCTCTTCCTCCTCCTCCTCCTCCTCCTCCTCTTCCTCCTCCCCCTCCTGCTTTTCCTTTTACTGCTCCTGCTCCTCTTGCTGCGCCTCCTCCTCCTCCTCCTCCTCCTCCTCATGCTCCTCCTCCTCCTGCTCCACCCAACCCGCACAAAGAGGGAAACTGGCCGGACCACCTCAAGTCAGGACAGATCAAAGCCCAGGTTTGCGAGGACGTCTCCAGCGAAACGTGCCAGGGCACATAGCACAAGTCAAATGCGATGAAAGAACCAACCACTGTTTGGTTTTCACGTGTTCTTGAACCCACCCCGCTAATGGCCCTGAGTTGGCCGAAGAGAGCGTCTGGAGGGAGCCAAGGCAGCACTGCAAGGTTGGAGGGTTCCTCGAAGGCGAAGACGTCGCCAAAGTAGCCCCACGACGGCCCCAAGACACTCCAAATAGGGCCAATAGAGCTCCAAGACGGCGTGAGAGGGCCCCAAGACGGCCCAAGAAAGCCCCAAGGCGGCCCCAAGGATCCCCCCAGGCTGCCCCACAGGATCCCAAGACAGCCCAAATGAGCTCCACAAGGGCTCCTCAAGAGTTGAAGACGAAAAGTGTCACATGTGACGGCCTTCCTCTTCCTCCTTTTCCTCCTGCTTCACCTCCTCCTCCTCCTCCTCCTCCTCTTCCTCCTCATCGTCATCATCGTGGGCTTGGGGACACGAGGTCTCCCGCGTGATGGCTTCCCGTGCCTCCTCGACCAGTCGCCTCCCAATATGCTGGGCTGGCACGGTGGCGGGATGTGCTGCAGGCAACTAGATATTTGCTAAGAGTGAACCTAGATCCGGGTGCTAGTAACGTCCAGGCGGGATGCACCTACGACTTCTTTCGAGCAGTTGGTCATGCCTTAGCTAACGTTGTAACGCCATTGGATTTGCAAAGGGTACCCTGGCGTTTCTAACATTCCGTTGGATTCTGGAGATGGTGCCAGACAAAAATAATGCATTACACGGTTATCTGGTGGGAACAGTCTCCACTGTGATTTTGGAGGGCGCGCGTGGCCCGGATAGTCTCAAACAGCTAATGAAGCCCCAACGAAGTGTCAATGAAAGCTGGGGCCCCTAGTTGCTCGACAAAACGATACGGGTTTCAATGATGGAAGCAACGTGTTCCCGTAACCCCCCCCCCCACCGCATAACGAACTCTTACCCTCGTCGAAAGTGCGGAATCACTGAAAAGGCCCATCATGCAATTTGGGTGCAACAGCCATTCGGGTTAGGCTTCTCACATGGACGTACCCAATGATCGGTCCAACTTCTGAAACGGTTCGAACAAACAGTGCCGGCATCGGTTTTTGGAAATGCACGGGTGTCGTCAGACCATCCAGGGGGGGGATGAAGCGTAAAATGTGTGCCCGAATCAATGTCTGTAGCTCGGTAACCTAGCCTCGAAGAAAAAGCACGGCACTGCACATCTGACCTCATACGAACTCATAAGGACCTCGTGATCGCTGACAGTGGTGCTAGGAACTCGTCTTGGCGCCCCGAGCGCGAAGCATCATGGGGAGAATGTCCACTCGACTACTATGTCAAACTGACTTGGCGTCGGCCTAGAGTGGCTACGGCCCTGCTGCCGCCCTCCCTGACCGTCCCCTCCCCTTCTTCAGCCCCCTCTTCCCTCCCTCCCTCCAACCCTCCCCCCTCTTTCTTCCCCCCCTTCCTCTCTCCCCCTCTCGCAAGAGGTGCGGGGGCGGCCAGCCACCTGCTCCCGCTGTCGCCTCTGCTGCCGCCGCCCTCGTAGTTGAACCCGGCCTCGGCTGGGCTCCCCACGCCCAGCTCCCTCCGCCTCCTGCGCATCCCCTTCCCCCTTCCCACCGAAAAAAAGGGGGCGGGTTTCGGAGAGGCTTGGGTGATTTCCAGCACGGGCTGTAATCCACTCCGCTAAGTACCCCTGAGTTCGCTTGCCACGAAGGGCAACGGCAAGACCTTGGCTTATTGATAGGCCACCTACATCAAGCAAGCCCCCTTGAATGTCCAAAAACAATATGAAAACATCAGGGGGGACAGGTAAAAACAAAGTTGCCCCTAGTGCTTCAGGGCACATGCGGGAGTAAAGACACGCGGGGCCCACCGGATTGCCAAGGCGACGTTCCCGCGACCACCCTGGCGCTCTGCACTCCGAGACTACAATGGGCACAAGAAACCCAACGCAAGAAATTGAACCCTGAAATCCACCAAGGCTCCTGCACCCAAGGTCCAGTTTGTTGCACTTCGGCTGGAACGAAGTAGCCCAGGGTAACTACCCTGACCCGAGCGATGTCTTGACCGCTTCCGTATAACATTCGCCACCAAGAAACCACAGGCGATCGAAAATGCCAGCTTCAGGCCTTGCACCAGCAGAAAGATGACGATTTCTCTCCGCACCCCAAACAACGCCCATTTGACATTGGCTAGGGTAGACGAAAAACACCAACCACCCATGATGTGATTCAATTTCTTGGAATATCGGGCATTCGCCCAGCCCTAGCGTTCCCATGTCAGACTCAGGAGCCCCCGCATACATATTGCGTCACGCTGGAGGAACAACCAGGGTGGCGGGATAAGAAACCCAAGGTGGTACCCTGAATGCCTGCCAAGTCCTCAGTCTCATCAGCGTGACCCTCGTCAATGACGAACTGAGCTTCGGAAACTCAATGGTGAACACCAAATGTTTCACTCGTGTTCCAGGCCTCAGCATGACATGGCTTATTGTGGCACTCCTATCCTAGGTCTCAACGTGAAAGGCTGCGTTGTAGCATGTGCACTGTTCTCACTGTGCGCGTGCGCTATATGAGAATCACTTGGGGATGCGCAACTTGACTTCGGACAATTGTTTCGCTCGCGTGCCGTACCTCCACAAGATATGCAACTGTGGCGCAATACGCTTTATCATTGAACGCGCGAGCGCGCGCACGCTCGCATGCTCGCACACGCGTACGCCATAGAATCATCACTTGGGACGTTTTCTACGCCTCGGCATGATCTGATGCGTTGTGACACGGTACGCTGGCTAAATGCCTCGCTTTGTAAGAAGGGGGCCCCTTTGGACAATTTTGGCTTTTCCCCCTCGATCCCCCTCCTTTCCCCCCGTTGTTCGGCTCTTCCCCCCCTCGATTTTCCCGTTGCCCTCCCCGATCACACCCCCCGCTTCCCCCCCGCATCCTCCCCCCATTCCCCCCCCGATCCCCCCCCCGTTCCCCCCCCCCACCCCGACGTTTCTTCGCCCGCGGAGCGCGCCCGCGACACGACTTCAGAACGGACCTGGACCTCCTCGTCCTCGCCTTCGTCCCTATCCTCCTCCCATCCTCCTCTTCCTCCCCATCCCCCTCCTCCGGCTGCTCACACGGCAAGCACTGAGTACTAAATTGAAGCATAGTTGGAGAAGGAGAAGGAGGAGGAGGGAGGAGGAGGAGGGGGGGGAGGACGACGACGACGAGGAGAAAGAGGAGGAGGAGGAGGAGGAGGAGGAGGAGGAGGCAAAGCGTAACCTGGGGGGTCGTCGTCAAGCCGCACTACTCTCTACCACCATCCTGCCTGTCCTCCCTCGCGCTGTGTCCCTCAGCCACTTGGCCATGGGTGCTGCGGCGCGGCAGGGCGATGTTTACAGAGGAGGACGGAGGCCTATGGTGCACATGATACACAGTATTTGAAATCCTGTTCAGGTTAACCACTTGCACGTCTGACTGATGCAGAGTCGGATCGCCATTGTGCGGGGGCGCATTTGGCGGCACATATGCGAGGGATGAGTTGTTCACGACAGACGGGGGGGAAGGGCGGGCAGGGGGAAAGACAGAAGGAGAGAACATGGCACAGGATACCTCTGGCCCGCTGCCTGGGACAACCATGCGAATGGCAGATAAATCTCGCGGCATCTCAAAGTCAACCCATTTGAACGTTGTGGGCTGATCAGCCGAGTTCGCCAACACATCATAAGAATAGATTGGGCCAGAGGATGGAAGCTGGTCATCATGATCAAAGAGCCTACGCACCACTCGGACATTATGTTCCGCACAGTGCGCCATATCAGAGGGTCTCGATGGGGAAGTGGTACTCGCTCCTGGAGCCGATCCTGGTGTGCAACATGGCCTCAATCTCCTCAGAGTTGGACTGGTAGAGGCATCTTCTCCGTCATCAGTCGTCGTGCCCTCCACGCCGATGTTCTCGGAAGAGGGGAGAGAGCTGCTGTCGTCAGACTGGTCGTCTGCGGAACATGATGACCTCTGGGATGAGGAAGACGCCGAACGTGTCTGATCTGCCACTTGGCGTGCTCGGAGGACGTGCTGGTGGAGAGCTGCCCTCGCGATCCACTTCAGCTGCTTGCCACGCAGCGGGAGACGTGCTGCGAGTCTAGTGGCTTCCACCAGCGTTGCAGCCTCTGGGTATGACGGTGGAGAACCGAATTTGTGGGAGACCAAGCGGTAATGGCGGTACATCGCGATCAGGAATGCAAGCGACCCTTCAGGCAGAAGTCCCAGCCGTCCTTGCACTGAGCATGGAAGGTCAGAGCGCAGCGCTAGCGCTGCAAAATGATGTAGCCGAGGACAATCACAAATGTAGTGCGAGATGCGGTCAGGAGCCCCGCAGCATCCATATATGCACCCCGCCTCACGTTGCATGCGGGTATTAGTGGTCCGTGCTCCTGTCCACGATTTGAGCGCAACAATGCTCCACGCTGTTGGTGCACCCTTTACGATATCAGCAAAGATGTTCACGTCATCGGCATAGAAGCCAAAATGCCTTTTCACTCGCTCCGAAATAAGGTCCAAGAGAGATGGTGGTAAGGTGGACCGTTGGATGATAGTCGTGAACACAGCCTGCCACTTAACCTTCGGGGGAGAGCGACCATGCGAAGTAGCTTCGAGCTGGCGCGGGATGGCGCGTAGTGGAGCGGGAAGGGTCGCTTCACCAAGTAGTCGTATGATAGAGTAGGGGATATGTCCCGTAGTTGCCGTCCAGGCTTCAATTGCTAATCGTCCACCATTTTGAAGATGCGGATCTCCAGGGAAGCCACGACGCGCATCCTCCAGAAATGCCAAACGGTGGGGCCTGCAAGAATGGGAGCCTTTTGAGGTAAGTTCCACCACGCTGCGAATCCTGGTGTGATCAGCGTATCCTCCAGGTCAGCAAGGACAGTCTGCCACGATGGGCAGGTCAGAACTGCGGTCCGTAGCCTGACTGCAGCTGCAGACGCGTAGATAGACGGGATACGTGGACCACCGATCATGTGAAGATTGAAGCAGTCTGCCGTTCGAAGCATAGAGCTTGGGGCTGGAAGGATACGGGCGATACAGTGGCGTTGACATTGTCCATTCTTCCAAGTCATGGGGACGAGCTGCGCAACATAACTGAGCACAGGGACTGCGCGTTCGCGATAGAGGGAGGCCATCACAGCCACAGGGGCGCCAGACAGGCTGATGTCGACTGCCCGCGCGTGGTGCTTGGCAATCGGTTCATGCCATTGGTCTGCCACACTCGCACCAGGACCGATACCAAAGCCGAGATATGTGCATTCACTATGGCAAAGGCCTTCCACGCGGGGTTAGCGCCAGACAGCGCAGAGCGGAGTGCCATCGTAGTATCTTCATTAAGCTGATTGGCGAGCGGGATGGCAGCGCACTTCCGATGCTTCAAGAAGAGGTTCGCTAGCTCCTCTGCGAGGCGAAAGATTCGAGCCAATCTGCAGCACGCACGATTCAGAAAGATAACCACCCCCAGGTCGTCTGCACGCGCACGAGGGATCCCCAAGGTCGGAGAAGGGCGTGAAATGCTGACCTCCATGTCGAGCAGAAATGGGTTCGCTGCAACAACATAGAGGGTGCCACTTAGAGGGCACCCTTGCAAGACCCCCGAACGCATGCAAGACATATAGTGCAGCTCTTCGCCTCCAAAGTAGCACATGGTATGATAATACAAGCTTTCAAGCGCACTCTTCAACGGTTGTGGGAGACGTAGCCGAGCGATGCACTGAAATAACCAGGGCTGGCTGACACTGGGGAAGGCCTGCGCAAAGTCGAACGTGAGCAGAGCAGGGCACTCTGTGGGGCGAAGATGAGCAATCATGCTCGCATTCCTCGCTTCTGCGTCCAACATGAGTACATTGTTGAGGAAGTTGCGGCCTTTGATGAAGCCGTTCTGGCATTTTGCGCCCACAGACGTAGCCACAGGATGCAGGCAGCGATTGAGAACACCGCATATCACTTTATTGCATGTGTTTTTTGAGGCCTAGGGGGCGAGTCTCGCTAGGGCCACGTCGAACCCCACCGCAATCAGGCTCAGCTCGGAGGGCAATGGGGTCCTTGAGGGGCTTCGGAAGGAACGCAGAGAGCAGCGCCGTGAAGTCGCTGCCCATGTAGCGGCCCTGCAAGAGCCAACTGAGGACCTCCGTCAGCACCGAGGGGCCCGCTCCAATGCTCCACGGAAAGTAGCGTAGCCCATCAGGGCCAGGTGCAGCCCAATTCGCTTGCCCAAGAAACCGCCGTATGTCCGCAACCACAGGGGGCCTGATATCGGTGAAGTCGGTTGAGGTGGTGAACTTGGTCAGGTAAGGGGTGGCCTTGTGGGGGGCTGGTTTCGCGGTCTCGAAGACTGGGGCCCAGTGGAGAGCGAGGTCTTTGGCAAGGGAGAGCTCTGGAGAGACAACGCGCCCATGAACCACTTGATCAAGAGCTCGAGAGACCCCAAGACGCACCATACGGCCTAGAGTCCCATCAGGGTCTTCCTGGTCCACCTCCCCCTCTTTCTCAGAGACAATACCTAGCAAGAACTTGCGCCGG